ACGGACTGCAGTAACAGAATCTGGAAAACCTATCAAAATTTCTCTCTTTCCCACTTTACATTGGACAAAATCAAGGCAGGGTTATTTTGACTTTCTTTCTCACCTGTGCTTCAGTTGCTGAACTGCATATTGTGTATCCAAGTCCCTGCATAACTGGCTCTTCATGCCTTCTGCAAGATCAGCTCTGAATTCCTTTACTCTGTCTCCCCTATCAGAAGGATGCTTCCCTCCCATGTGGGAAGATGAGCCAGACGGATTGTTATGTGTAGGAGATAAGAATCCCTCCTTGCCTCATCCGAAGATGGGCCTGGCATCTTACCAAGATGAGTGGACAAGAGTCACCAAAGAGTCATCTGTAAAATTCCCCCACTCTTCCCATTTCATAGCAAACAGCACAGGAGAGCTTATCCTGGGAATCAGTAAGGAGTCTCCTTCATCTTGGGGCTCTTTCTCTATTAATAGTGACAGCAGGTCACAAGGACAGAACTTGTATGGGAATATCAGATGGAACTGTTGTGCAAAGTGTGGAGTGTGGTCATTTCTCCCCCTCTCCTGTGACTTTCTCTAGTTTGGGATAGCCTAGAATGTATCCCAGTTCACATTCCTCTTTCCCATCCATCAGTATTCAAAAATTTCAAAATCTTGAAAGCCTGTCTAGGTTTCTTTCTATTCCATCTTAATATGAAACAAAATCAAAGCAGGAATATTTTGAGATTCCTCCTTATGCTTGCTTCAGTGTCTGGACTGTGTAACTTCTTGTCCAAGTCCCTGTTTAACATCGCTTTCCTATCTTCGCTAAGGCCCATTCTAAATTCCTTTACAGAGGGGATTCATTTGAGGTACATCCTGGCAAGCCTAAGGTTCCTTCTCCCAGTGTTTACAGTGAACTGTAAGGTATATTTCATATAAAGGTTCAGAGTCTTCTAGACCCAGTTTACTAACGCTGCCCGATTCATTCCCATCCCCTTGGAATCAAGAAGAAAGGGATCATCCTCCCTTCCACACGCTACCAATAAGTCTCTGCCTTTTGGTCTCCACTTTTTACTCACCCTGACCACTGGTTATAGATATGCCCTCATCAATTGTCTATAGTAGTTTTCATTATTACTGGTGAATAATAGACCTCTTTTTATACTGATGCCAAGAAAACTACATGTCCATGAAGTTACCAAGAGGTGAAGACAATGCAATAGAAATGTGACTGTTTTGTGTTATTTTGTGGAAGAATGCACTGAAACCTTACCATTTGTCAGTCTTTATCTCTTCTGTTTATTTCACAAAATCCAGTTAGTCCAAGCCATCATTAATTATTCCAGTGTATTTAAAGAATTATTTGTCTATCTGGTACTCAGTGTTGCAGTGTCATGAGAAAGTAATTTCCTCCCATTCCTGAAAAGCTCAAATGACATTAACTTAGCTTTAAAACCATCTCCCTATGATTAATATTGTGTTCATAATCCCTTTCCTCACGGAGGCAGTTATAAGTTATTTTTTGCATATGCTTCTGTGTATAAAAATCAAGAGAACTTTTTAAAGTTTCCTTTTCTTCCATGTAAACATGTTAGAATACTCTCATGTTTTAATTTCTATAGCCATAAAAAGAATTTTTTAATGAATTCTAGGCCTGGCTTTTTTAAACAAATAATCAGTTCTCAAATGCTTTCAGGGCCTTTAAAAGGGTGAGATGGGATGGAAATGCAATAAAGCAGTTGCCTCACACATGGGAGGGGGGCACATATACAAAACATGGATTAGTATATAAAATTATTGGATGAATATTTTTCATTAGAAAATCAACCAAGATATAATTCCACAAGTTATAACTACCAACTCAGACAAACAAGCTAACATAATCAACACCCTAATCAAGAAAGCACCAAGAACACTCCAATCAACACTGACCAGGCAAGCCACTAGTACAAGGGAGGCAACCTTGGCTCTTTTATGACTCGTGGACTTCAACTCCCAGAATTCCTGAGCCAGCCTGGGCTCAGGAATTCTGGGAGTTGAAGTCCACGAGTCATAAAAGAGCCAAGGTTACCTACCCCTGCACTAGTATATAGATAGAAAACAAAGCCCACTCTCTGCTCACACTGATGATATTATTTAGTTGGATAATGAAACGTCTGTAAGAAAACAACCAAGCTCAGAGAGTACCAGAGACCCCCACAGTTCAACCCTGAACTACAAATATTGTCTTGTATCAGTCCCACAAGTTATTTCAGTACGTATTTTGTGTTTTCCAATCCATTCAACGGACCACTGACTTCAGTGGACAAAGCAATTTAAATTAGATGCGATGAAAAGCAAACGGAAGGAGGGCTCAAACAAGTACCTGCCCTGCCCCCTGCAGCTGAGTGTTAAAAAACCATTTCATTTGATCTAACAAATCCATCTCAAAATGACTTTTTTTTCTTCTTCCAAGGAGTCTGGCAATATTCAGAGCCTTTTTCTATAAGTTTAATTTGTAGATTCAGTCTGGATATGAGTTGAAAGATTCCTTTCTTTCAGATAAACATCCAGGATTCTCCAAGGCAAGAAAAAAATGAAAGGAAACAACTAAATCCTCATTGAATCTCCTATAGAATTGGGGGGGGGGGCTGGAGGGGGGCTTGGGATCTTTCAGCCTTATGCAGCAATTTTTAGGGGTTGCAAATGATGAAAGATATCTGCAAATATGACTTCTAACTTTTCCTGGTTGATTAGTGAAGCAGCCTTCCATCAGAAGTATTATATCCAAGCAAATATCTTAAAAACAAAACAAATAAGACCACATTTTAGCACAATCATTTTCAAGAATCTTCCCTATAATTGTCACACCTCTACAAGCCGTTCCTTTAGTTTTCAAAAGTATTGTTGTCAAATACAGTACAATTATTTAAATGTTTAGCTTTTTATTATTGGCACAAGATGGATTTTTCTATTGTAGCTTACATATGTGATTTTCATCTCACACAGAAGTATCTTTGATAATATTGACTTTATATATCAACCTTTCTTAATTGAAAACACGTACATTGAAATGTCTATGATGAAAATATCTTATTAGCCTATTATCAAAAGAAGCAGTATCAAAAGTATCATTTCAATCAATATTGCTACCATTATCAGAATATTGCTGTTTTCTTCCAAAGATGTATTGTATATTTTCTGTCAGATATATGAATGTTTGATAATTAACTCAATTCTCTCAAGTTAGGAAAACAGAATATATCAGTTTAACATTAAAAGATATTTTCGGAAAATATACCACTTATAAAACATTCATCTATTCACTGAATAGAACACAATTGTTACACAATTCAGTTAAATGTTTAATTGGTTGCATAGTTCATTAAATATGCAGTAGGTGACAATAGGAGTATAGGACTTGTTCTTAAATAGTATAATAGATTAAGCATCAGACATCCATATATCTATACTCAGTTGATTAAAGAAGGGATTGTATTAGAAGACACTAGTTGGTTAAAGAAGAGCTTTAATTGACCTAGTTCATTACAGGCAAGAATAATGATTCATGAATGGCTGTTAAAACTATTAAAAGAGGGGACAAACCAGATTACCTTATATTTCTGATCATTGAGGTCTCTTGGTGTTTTCCAGTAGATCCTCAGTAGAATTAAAAATAAGAGAGTTTAAAAGCAATTATAAGCCTATTTAAAAAGGTCTGCAAAGGGTAGACCTTCAATTCAATGGAGAATATTTTCCAGACAACTGGGATGGTTACAGAAAAAAAATTGATCCGGAATTTCCACAAGATGAGCCTCTGGCAATCTTAGAAGAACTTTCTCAGATAATCACTATCAGCCATTTAAGAAACCCTCATCCATCCAGCCGTGCAAAGACAGTCTTAGCCTAGTACTTCACCTTTTAATGACATTATGTCATTTTATAAGAAGTCACAGTAGCAGCCAGCACAAATGTTTTGTCTTTGAAACATCTTTCACATCAGCTTAAGTGACTGAAGATTTTAGTGTAAACCATATGCTCTGTATAGGTACCTTCCATTCCTCTTAGGCAGGGGTCTTCGAACTTTGCCCTTTTATGACTTGTGGATTTCAACTCCCAGAATTCCTCAGCCAGCGTGCCTGGCTGAGGAATTCTGGGAGTTGAAGTCCAGAAGTCATAAAAGGGCCAGCTTTGAAGACCCCTGCTCTTAGGCAAGAAAGCTTGGGCAAGCCACAGAGTTTAGTTCCACAAAGTAAAATTTACTCAGTAAATTTACCCAGAAACTCACCAGTGCTGCCTTAGTGTGTTTTGCTTTCTCCGTCTCTTAACTATGCAAGAACCATCTGTCTGCAAGAGAGACCCATATTAGTTGAGAATGTTCGTTCAGTAGCCGGAAAAGTATTCCTGTTCATTTATTGAGACAGAACAGAACAAGCTGGGTAAGGTCTGAGAGTAGGTGTTATCAGAAGCTATAATTTATACAGGAAGGATATCACAGTTTCGTGAAACAGAGTTTTATTCAATCTGGAAAATTTGCTTCCTAAAAACGTGGTGCTAGTGAAAGGAATTCTCAGGATGATTTTATTTCTATATATCCTTAATACAGCAGCCAGTTTTTAGAAACACCCTGGCTGCTTACGGGTTTGCTTGCTTTTTCTCTTCATCACAACCTCTTATTAATTTTGCCCTTCCCTTATAGCTGCCCGTCTTTGGGCAATTTTTTCAACTCAAATTGGCTCAGCTTCCTCACCATGCTGAATGTTTCCTCCGACTTTGCCTTATTCACAAATGGATCCAGATTCTCTTAGTATATAATAATGATTGCCAGATGTTGCTTGGATATTTAATCTACTATATCCTTGGGAATTTATCCGGCTACAAGCTCCCAGCGCCTGCCTCTGCCCCTGGGATTAGCTTGCTCTCTGCTGGGAAGCTACTTAACTTGGAGAAAAGTTTGAACAGAAAATAGGGCGATGGAGGGCTTAGAGAAAGGAAGCCTGTTCTGTTCCTCCTTTGTGGTCTTAAGGAATGACTGAGCCTCTCGTTCCCAGGGTGGCCCAGGCTTATGTGAATCAAAGGAAGCTGGACCACGAGGTGAAGACATTGCAGATCCAAGCTGCTCAGTTTGCCAAGCAAACAGGCCAGTGGATCAGCATGGTAGAAAACTTCAATCAAGCTCTGAAGGTGAGCACAGTGCCTGTATGAATGGCAGTGATTTATATATTATGCAGCCTCTTCTAGGGCAACCTTAAAGGACTGGGCTGGGCTCAGTGAGTGCGGATAGGGGGAATCACAAGTGGGTTCAGCATATACAGAGCCATCGGTTCACAGATACGAAAGAAGAGGCAACTCCAGAAGGGGAAAGAAATAGCAAGCATTTCCACAAGAAGGTCTCCCCCCTGGCCCGTCATTTATAACTCCTTTAATATGAATTATGCTATACTTTCTATTTCAAAAATCTAATGCAACATGCCCCATTTAAAATTGCACCTTGACCCTTGTGTGCCCTCTGGTTCTACTGTAGCATACTGGGCATGGATCAGCAGCCTGGTGGACTTCTGGGACATCTGAGAAGAGCAGGTGTAGTTCAGTGGTGGGATTCAGATATGTGAACAACCAGTTCTCTGTGTGGATGCCGCTTCCAGAAGTCCATTCTGGGCCTGGGCAACAAAAAATTAGCTACCGGTTCTGCCAAACTGGTGCGAACCGGCTGAATCCCACCACTAGTGTAGTTACATTTTTATTTAAAGCTCACTGTCAGCCGCTCACTATCAAAACAATGCTAACTTGATTTCTCAAACCTATTTGTTTTTTCAAGCTGTGATTAATCCTGAGTGTAATGGGAGAGCGCCCTCTACTGGTCCTAGGCTGCCCAAGATATTGATTCTGTAAAAAGGACAAAAGTGGTTTGTGTGCATTTGTGGAATTTGTATCTGTACATTCTTCATCGTAAATGGCAGGGAAGGAGAGGATGGATGGATGGATGGATCTAATCTAATAGATAAGGAAATGAAATATTGAGCCTTGTAGTGTATTTAATGAAAGAGATAAGGGGCTAGCAAAGGTCTTCTGTTAAAATGGTAAATTGTTTTCTGTACATTATCCTTGAATTCATCTAAAGTTATTTAAGTGTAAGAGCAGAAGGGTGCTCTAGAAAATTAGGTCCAGGCATGCTTGGATATGAGAAGCCAAAGAACAGGTGTTTGATCCTGACTTTGTTCTCTGGGCAGGAAATTGGTGATGTCGAGAACTGGGCACGGAGTATCGAGATGGATATGCGGACCATTGCCACCGCTCTGGAATATGTTTACAAAGGGCAACTGCAGCCTTCCACTTCCTGATCCAGAGGCCGGATTCTCTCGGTCACCGGAATTGCTTGGGCTCCATCTCTCATGCTACGTTGCCAACTGAAGGTATATCATGGCAGAGTCCTTGCCCGCAACCTCTTCCTCTGCTTCGGTGGCTGTTCTTTTGCAGCACCGAGTAAGTGTCCCCCCTGCCTGCCCCCCCCCAGCCCATCTAGATGGCATAAGAGTTGCCGCTGGGACTTTTGCTTTGACTTGCGCTTTGGCTGAGTATCCATGGGCAGCCTCTAGCTGGGAGGAATCATGAAGCAGCCTGACATGGGAATGCACATACCCACAGGAAGGAAAAGAAGCCATGCTTTTTTCCATGGAAGCTGGATCAGTCTGTGCTACGAACGCAGAAAGAATGAAATAAAAACAGGTGGCTTAATTACAAGTGTTGATGTGAGTCATTGGATGGGGTGTCGGTTCTATCGACTGCTTAATCCCATCTGGGTGAGTGTGAAGAAGGATGGAAAGCTCCTTTCTCTTACTCAGACAGAGGAATGGGATGGAGATGGAGAACTGTAGTGTGGCTGGAGCTTTTTCCTCACAAGGTCACCCAGCCTGGCCTCTTCATCCTCTTTTAATTTTCAAATCCTTCCCCTGATGTTTTGCAAGCCTTAAACAAAGGTACCCTTCTCGGATTTAATTTGTCCTAATCTCTCCTAACTCGGCATGTGCCGCATACTTGGGTAAGAGGGGCGTGACGTGGAATGCCAAAAGGGTTCGGCTTCCATTTCTAGAGCCTCGCCTCTCCCTTCACTAGCTTTGTGGTAGAGGGGGCTGGATATTTTAATATGGTCCTGGAATATCCTCTTTTCAAGGAAGCTGCCCATATTCCCCTGGTTCCACAGATGGGTTGCCTTTAGTCTGTTCAGTTCTATCTCTGGCTTGAATGGGCTTCAGCTAGCAAGTCTTCTGCTTCCCTTTTCCTGACCTAGTGTACATTCCATCTGCTTGTGTAGCTGCAAAAACCGGGGAGCTTTTGAGTAAATAATAATACTAGTTATTTATTAAATTTGTTTTCTGCCCATCTCACCACAATCATAATAGTTCTTGTTGCCTTTCTCACAACAGTACTGAGACTCCCAAGCCTAGGGCAGAGTTCGACCATGAAATTTTAAATAATTTATTGTCCTTTGTTCCTTATGACATCTCTGTACCTTTTGGCTTAACCAGGCCTTTTGTTACATCATGGGTCTTTCTAATTATCACATCAAGACACCTTTATATGGAAACACTTTCCACATGTGCTTCATTTGGAGATCAGGAAACCACACGTCTTGGGTGTTTTTGTGCATCAGCTTTTGCATCTGAATGCAAATGCTTTCTGCCCAGACTGTACAGGTAGTCCTCAACTTATGACCAAAACTGAGCCCAAAATGTATATTGTTAATTGAGTTTTGCCTCATTTTACAACCTATGTTGCCTTGGTTGTTAAGTGAATCACTGCAGTTCTTAAGTTAGTAACTTGGTTGTTAAATGAATCTGGCTTCCCCATTGATTTTGCTTGTCAGAAGATCCCAAAACGTGCTCATATGACCCCGGGGCACTGCGACCGTCGTAAATTAGATTCAGTTTGCTAAGCGTCCCGAGTTTTGATCAGATGACCGTGGGGATGCTGCAGCAGATGTAACTGTGAAAAATGGCCATAAGGTTTTTTTTTTTCAGTGCCGTTGTAACTTTGAATGGTCACGAAATGAATGCTTGTAAGTCAAGGACTCCCCGTATTGCTCGTTCTAAAAGAAGCAGTGGGAAATGGATTCTCGGCCTTCTACCCCAAAGATGAGTTAGAAATACTTTTCAATCATAGGTTCACATTTGATTGCAACCGCTGGGTTTAAGCTCCCAATATGCCTTCTCTTAAATGTGTTCGTTTGTGTCCTGCCTGATTATTTTTACAAGTAACTCAAGGCGGTGAACATACTTTATTATCCTCCTAACAAGCCTGTGAGGGGTTGGGCTGAGAGAGAGTGACTAAACAAAGGTCAGCCAGCCAGCTTTCGTGGCTAAGGCGAAACTAGAACTCACCAGCTCCTGCTTTCTGGCCTGGAGTCATAATCACTAGCCCAGGGGTAGGCAACCTTGGCTCTTTTATGATTTGTGGACTTCAACTCCCAGAATTCCTGAGCCAGCATGGTTCAGAATGGAAACCTCTCCCTTTCCCCTCAGCATGGCTGCCTCAGGAATTCTGGGAGTTGAAGTCCACGAGTCATAAAAGAGCCAAGGTTGCCTACCCCTGCGCTAGACCAAACTAATTGTAAATTAATTGTAAGTGAGCCCCGAGGCAAGAAAATTAATTGGGATTTCCCCAAGGCTATTAATTCTCATTTCCTTCTATATTTCTTAATTCATTCAGTGGTCGGTGGAAAAGAGTTGGAACATATGGAAGAATGTAAACTCTGGGGACTCCCACCGCCTCCCTTCTTTGTAGCTGAAAAGCAGCAAGGGATGGATTTACTTTGTTTTTGTTTAGTTTTTAGTTCCAAGCAAGAAACTTAGATGATTTTTTTTTAAGCACTTATGTCCACATATCAGCTAGAAAGACTCCCAGGGCAGCTTTTATATCAATAAAAAGAGAGTCCCTAATGTTATATTTACAGTCTTTAAAAAAAGCAAACGTGACAGTAAAGAAAAAAAGAATGTCCAGGACAGGAAAAAACATACCGGTACTTGGAAACCAATTCTTTATCGCTTTTTCAGCTATATCTCAGTAAAAGGTTGCTGAATGATTGTTGAGGGAGAGGCAAACCCAGCTGGAATTGACTTCTGAGTTATCTACCTTTCTTTCCCTTTCTCTGCTGGTTAAATTGGATAAGCTGAAATACTTGGGCATTTCAGCCATAGGTTTGTTTATTTATATCCCGTCATTATTTTTATAATGGTGACAAACACACACAATATGCCCCTTCCTCCTATTTTCCCCTCAACAATACCTCTGTGTGATGAGGTAGGCTGAGAGACAGGTCCAAAGTCACCCAGCTGGTTTTCATGGCTAAGGCGGGACTTAAACTCTCAACTTCTAGGCCGCACTTCTAGGCCACAAGCAAATCTCAGTATTCTTTCTTGGATTTAAAGATTTTTTTTTCTTGCACCCTATAGAGTTGCAAAAATAGCCACCCTACTCTCCATTTTGTTAGGATATTTTACCAGTAAGGGACTTTCACACATGGAGAGTTCATAGGGTTGCCAGGTCTGCTTCCAAAAAATAGCGGACAAGCGGGGGGGGAGGGGGTTAAGTAGTAAAAAAAGTAGACTGTACAGCTTTAGATTACGTACCATTTCATCATAAAGCTTTTGAATAAAAAAAATGTCCACTATTTTGTGAAAAATATAGTGAACATAATGTGAAAAAAGTGGACTGTCCACTCAAATAGTGGACACCTGGCAACACTAAGAGTTCATGGCTGCTTTCTTTACTTGCATAAAGCTCAGCAGCTTAGACCTCTTTAATTTAGAATCTTCCTAACAAGTTGAATTAAGCAACAAAGGCCTTTTTCACTTCTAAGCTCTCTCTCTCTCTTTCTCTTCTGTTCTCTTCTGCAAAAGCATAAAATCTTTGTAGGTTTTGTAAGAGGCCTGGCTTTCATTTCTCTTTACCTCTCCTCCTTGACATTATCAGCAATGAGTGAGACTCTGTAAATGTACGACAGGTATTCCTCGACTTAACGACCAAAATTCAGCTCAAAATTTCCATTGCTAAGCAAGACAGTTGTTAAGTGAGCTTTGCCCCTTTTTATGACCTGTTACTACAGTTGTTAAGTGAATCACTGCAGTTTGTTCAGTTGGTAACAAGGTTGTTAAATGAATCTGGCTTCTCCATTGACTCTGCTTGTCAGAAGGTCGCAAAAGGGGATCGCGTGACCCCGGGACACTGCAAGCGTCGTAAATATGAGTCAGTTGCCAAGTGTTCAAATTTTGGTCACGTGACCGTGGGGATGCTGCAACAGTCATAAGTGTGAAAAATAAGTCATAAAGTCACTTTTTTTCAGTGCTATTGTAACTTTGAACAGTGACAAAACAAATGGTTGCAAGTCAACAACTATCTATATACGGGTTGGAATACTGATCCTGAAGTGATGCTATGCAACTCAACAGGAGTAAGTTACTGATATATCAATACTGGAGTATTCAAGAGAATACAGAAATCTTCTCCCCTCTTGTAATGATTTCTTGCAACCAGCAGAGGGGAATTGGTGTGTCCTGTGTCATGGTTCCGACAGATGAAACTCTTCTAAGAACTTCAAGGCATTGTTTACCTTAAAGAATCTTTATTCGAGTAGCATAGCTTCGGCACGTACATAGGCAAAGCCAAAAACTGAATTCCCCTCCCCCTTGAACACATAATATCAAAGCACAATTCCCTCCTCCAATTAACAGTCATAAATCACATTCCCCAATTAGTTTAAAGCACGGGCTTTCCCTCCAGCTCTCCAGCCTGCCAATTCTTATCATCTCTTATTTCAACAACCTTGATTCTCAGGCTAAGTTCAGTATTATTATGTCTAGCTCAGGGGTAGGCAACCTTGGCTCTTTTATGATTCGTGGACTTCAACTCCCAGAATTCCTGAGCCAGCCATGCTGAGGGGAAAAGGAGAGGTTTTCAAGCTGAGCCATGCTGGCTCAGGAATTCTGGGAGTTGAAGTCCATGAGTCATAAAAGAGCCAAGGTTGCCTACCCCTGAGCTAGCTGAACTCTCATGCACATCCCCCCCTCCCCAGCATCATCTAACTCTAAAAGCGAAAAGAATAAAATGGCTGCATCTCCATCTGTTGTCAAAGCAAAAACATCTGATGTGAGCAGCGTTGACATCCTGTTCCCTTCCTAAGAATAAAATTTCAATTTTTGTTTCCCAGGTCCTTAAAAGGGTAGGGCAGATGCTAAAGAGAAATTAAATAAGAACATATGTACATCACCTTGGATAACCCCCAATTAACTTCCATCTATTTAGAGCTGTATTTCTGATGAGCTCTCAGTAAGAAGAAAGGAGTGGTTTGCTTATAATGGCACTAAGACAAGGAATGAGTTCCCAAATCATTCTAAAATAGTTGAATGGTTTTCAACACAGGGCTCCTGCTGAAATATGCCTGAGAATTGTCTGTGTGCATGCATGCGTGTGTGTATATTTCACTCTGAAAGTGGTGTTTTTCCATCTTACCTCCCCTCCAGATACTACATCCAAGCAAAGTAGAGAACATTGATGCACATGGGGAGGGAGCCTGAAATGACATGTTCTGTTGGCAAAATTGTGACTCTAGTTGGTATAGCCAGGTTCCTGTGGAATCACCCCTTCCCATATGATTTATGCCGTTCTACGCCCGTTTGCTCCTGAGGAACACCAGCATCCCAACTTCTGTTGTTAGTTGCGAAGTCGTGTCC